TGTTTCCTCTGTTGATGCCTTCGATTATGAGTATAGCATACTCCATTCTTCAAACTTAACGTCTCTGCTTATTATACATTTCCTTCTATTCGGTTCCAAACACCAGAGTTTGTAGCCCTTTATTGTTAGCTTTACGGCTTCAATCAAACTAAATGTTTTGATGATCACAAACCAAGTATAAACTAACAATTTGAATGTTTCAAAGTATCCACAGCGTAGAGCTTGAGAAGACAAAACCAACATCTTTCGAATCACTTAAATCGGAGTTCAAATGAAGAAATTATGGTAACAAGTCAATTGAACCACTCTTACATGACGGGTGACATGGACAAGTGGACAAACTCAGAATTTGACATATGACATCAAGATGACATACTTATGCTAACATGACATCCAACAATCAAACAAATAAGAAGACGACATGTGACACTTTCAATTTCTACAAATATATTTCCACAAATTTCTCTCCATCTGCTCAATCACCTCAATCTCTTCAGTCACTCACAATCTCCATAATTTCTCAATTTCCACCAATTTCTTTCAATCACCATAATTATTTTTTATTCATTTTTCCTTATTCTTCACCTTAATCTATACCGTTCATCATTGTTGCCCTAAATCCAGTGGCCAAAATTCATCTTCAAAATTCTATTCACTACAAGAAAAATGAGTTTTAGAGACACCTAAAAAATGTCGCTGAAAACCCAATTTTGTCGCTAAAAGTTTCAGCGACGAAACCTTGTTCGTCACTAAGGACGTCGTAGATAACTCGCCGTTTAAAGTTTCAGCAACAGTGTATGTTGTTGCTAAAACTATTTTTTAGCACATCACTTGTTGTCGCTGAAAACAATTTTCAGCGACTTTTGTTATATTGTGTCGCTAAAAATGTGTTTCAGCGACATCCTTTAATGTCGCTATATGAATTTTCAGCGACAAAAATGACTGTCACTGAAAACCAGTTCCAAAATATGTAATATCCTGTTTTCGAATTTCGCCTTCAATTCTATTCAATTTATGTGCTTTAAAATGACACATATATAAAACGTCACTGAAAAGTATTTGTAATATTAAAATATACGTAAGGTAGATTCTCTAAATGTGTAACATCTTATTATAACAAAAAAGGTACTTTCTAACTACAAATAACAATTTGTCTTATAAGTGATTCAATTACATATAACAAAAGAAAACATGTTGTTTTATGCATGAAGTTCTTCTTCTGAATGATCCAGCACAGCCGCTTTTGATGACATAGTATATCCTGTAAAAAATTAACAATACAACTTATTTAACATGAAAATATAATCAAAAGAGTTTTTTGACCTACTAAACCAACATATATATATATCTATATCCACACCAACTTACTAAATAATGAAAAACGTAGTGAACAATACTAAACCAATCAACAAAAAGTAATCTATTAGAACTCCAAAATCATAGTTTATAATCCAAACAACTATTAAATCATTTCTAAAACAAACAAAATTGCAACACTACAAGAGAAATAGCCATGTTATATCAACACTATAAACAACCCAAAATGCTCATAACTTCATAAAATACTAATAAACTCATTTGTATATATATACAACACAAGTGATGACTACCATAACTGCAAGATCATCACGACATTTCAACTACATCAAAACTTATATTTATAAGTATATGCATCAAACGATGTTGTTATGCTTCTATTAACATCATAAACAACTCAAATGCTCCTAACAGTTGAATTTACTAACAAACTTATATTAGACATAATATATGCTATGACTACCATAAACCTATATTAGACATAATATAAGCTATGACTACCATAACTGTAGGATAGCCACAACACTTAGCTACGTCAAAACCAGCATTTCATAAGTACATGCATCAAATATGTAGCTACACTTCTATTAACATCATAAATAAGTCAAATGCTCCTAACATGTGAATATACTAACAAATTCATATCGATATAACATAAGTCTTGACTGCCATAACTGCAGGATAGTCACAATACTTCAAAGCACATCAAGTCCAATATCCATTATAAAGTATCATCTACTTAAATACTCATCTACTATGGACAACATGTATGAATACCTTTTTAAGCATCATTCAACGGTTGAGAATTAGCTCGTTGTGATGATCCTTCTCCAGCATTGCTTAGTCTGTTTACAGTTTCTTGTAACTATCTCAATTGAGCCATTGCTGATTCAAGTAGGCTTTGTTGCCTCTGTACAACGGATTGCAATTGAGCTATTTGATTTCTTGACTCTCTATTTCTTTGAGAACTTCGTTCATTCTGAGTTGTCGTCGTTGGTGGTCCCCATCCAAGTGCACCTCGCCTGTTTAGTACTTGAACACTGATTTGTCGAGCTGAAGGAGGTTCTGCACCTTCTTCCACTGGTGCATTTTTCAGTTCAACCATTTGTTCCTACAATGTCCATATATAAATAATATTAGTACATATCAAATAACACAAAAATAAAAAAAAGTAGTTTTACCTACATGTTTTTGACCAGCCACAGAGCTCACCCACTTGTCGTTCATCCTTTTGTGTGTTACTTCGAACATTTCAATGTCATCTACCTCTCGTCCCTCTTTTTTTTTCTACATAATTCAAACAAGGTTATGAGTAGTGAAATATTTTTGAAGTTATAACAAGAAAAGAGATACATACAATGTTTTCTCTGTGACGTATGCGATCGTTCCTGCTGTATGACCATACGGTACAGACGCTCGAGCTTTAGTGTTTGTTTCAGAAATTTTCTGACATATATATATAATAGTTAGTAGCAAAATACTTAGAATAAAACTAATTCATATCTACAATACATACCTTAAACTTCTCTGTTTCCCAACGATCGCCTAAGCGATGCCAATCTTCATCTCGTGCAACATCTTTGTGTTTGTGATGCCGTGCTTCTTCTAGGGAATATTGCATGTAATGCTTATGCAACCTGTACCGGAAATCTCTATGCCTACTACTCATCTCATGCTCTAGATAACGATAAACAATTGGATCATTGAGATCAAGAATGAATTGATTCTAACAATAAACAACAAAAAGACGACGTGTCAATGATAATCACAATATAACAACATTTTAAAAAGTGTCACTAAATGAAACTTACGCTAAGTCTATTTATGATACTGTTTTTATCGTCTTGGTTGACATTTGACCAATGTTCACAATTCAGAGGAACGATTGACCGCACCCATGATTTTAATTTCTATCAGACCATGATTTTGGACATGTTTATCAACATTCAGATCTCTAGTGTTGCGTCTACCTTTTCTTTTAGTCGTGCCAGAACCTACACGAAAGATATCATATATTTATATATTTAAGCTTAACTTGGATTAAAAAAAAGATTTCTATTTAAATATCATACTCTGTGCTGTTTGATTAGCCTCTCCCAGTTGAGTGCTTTTTATTCTATCGACATTGCTTGTGTAACTCCGTCGGTTTCCTGGTCCAAGATTTGAAGACGACATCCTGTAACATAAAAATGGACAAAATCAAACTATAATTAATTATAGGTCAAAATAGAAAAATAGTGTAAATATATGAAGAAATATTACATGCATATTTATTGACTTACAAATAAGTTTATATGTCACTATCGCTCTCTTCATCGTCTAATAACATATTGGAATCTGTGCTTCCAGAATCATCACTAGAATACTCAAAATCAACCTCTTATTCATCACTAGTTGTTTTTCTCGTCACTATCTATATATACTGCATCTTCAATAGGCATCGGCTCAACATCTTCTCTATTGAAGGTTTGTGAATTTAAGTTATCATCAACTTGTGGGTAACATGTGCGAATGCTTTTATCCGCCACTATTTCTTCCATTTCATTATTTTCAGCCTCCAGAATATCCCACACATGTCTTGGTTGAATTTGTCGAACAATCTTCCATTTTTGACCAAGTTTGTAATCATCTAAGTAGAATACTTGGGCAGCTTGACTTGCAAGTATGAATGGCTCTCATTTGTACCATCTTTAACGAGTATTAATCGATGTATAACCATCAGATACATTAATTCTACCCTTTCTTGAACTTGTATCGTACCATTCACATTACAAAAGAATCACTGACTTCAGATGAATGTGTTATAGCCTAATTACTTCATGCAACACGCCATAAAAATTTATTTCTCCGGTTTCATCATCTCCAGGCACCATCACGCCACTATTTTGTGTAACTCGATGACTATCACGCTCTTTTGAATGGAATTGAATTCCATTGGCTATACACCCAGTGTAAGATCAAACACGGTCGTTCAGGTCAATTGTTAAGGCATATAATGCATTAGAAATCCCTTTTCACTATACAATACTTGAGCCTAGTCAAACAGTTTAATTTATAGATAAAATAATGGAGACAATAGAGTTGTCACTCTAAATAGTACCAACTTACTTTTTTTTAAACCAAGTAGGAATTCTAATTGTTGTCTCCTGTGCAAATCACCAAGACCGTTTGATTGGAGAAGACTCATATGCTCCCTAAACATGAAACATATCTTAATTTCATCATAATGTCAAAATCTAGTATAAGAGTTGTACTAGAATAGATATGTACTCAAGGTAAGGTTCCACTTCATCACAGTTCTTTAGAATATACCAATGTGTTTTTTCTAACTCATTAGAAGTCAAGCGTTTAAATTGGTTACCACCCAATAGTCGTACACGTCCAGAAAAACCGATATCTTACTATTGTTCTCCACATTCTCGACATTATCATAATTACGCTCACTCTTATTGAATCTTGTTTCAATCCCATGTAAATACATAAAACAAAAAGTTAAAGATTCATTTATAATGTAAGCTTCTACAATCGAACCTTCAGGTCGAGTTTTGTTTCTAACATATTGCTTCAAATATCGCAGACTCCTAATACAAAAATCGTGAATAATGACTCGGGACTTAAAATCAATCATAGGAAAAAAAAATGGAACGAACGAAAAATAATACATTTTCATACCTTTCAATTGGTTACATCCAACTATAACCCGCTGGACCAATGATCGTTGCTTCCCACGACAAATGAACAGTTAAGTGAACCATAACGTCAAAAAATGCTGGTGGAAAGATCTTTTCGAATTTACATAGGACGAACACTATGTCAGTCTGCATTCTTTCTAATTCTGATATGCACAGAGTTTTTGCACATAAATCATGAAAGAAGTTTGACAATTCTGATATAGTTGTAGCAATATCTTTGGGTATAGATGGCCGAATACCAATTAGAATAAGTCTTTGTAATAAAACGTGACAATCATGACTTTTCAGACCGGTGATTTTGTCCTCGTTCGCGTTCACACACCGAGATATATTCAAAGCAAAACCATCTAGAAACTTCACAGATTTTAAAAATGTACAGAAGCTAACTTTTCCACTCGCAGTTAATGTGAATGATGCATGAGGCTTCACACGCCTGCCTCCAATTTCTTGTATATGAAGTTCTTTTCTAATTTTCAAGTTTGCTAAATCCTCACGAGCTTTAATCGTATCTTTAGTCTTCCCATCAATATTCAGTATAGTACCAACCAAATTATCAAAAATGTTTTTCTCAATATGCATCACATCAAGTTTATGACGTAACATAAGATTTTTCCAATATGGAAGATCAAAGAAGATACTTCTTTTACTCCAATTGTGCTTGTTAGCTAATCGCTTACGTTTGTTATCAGATACTATTGTAGGATGCTTGCTCAACGTAGGGAAACTCAATGAATTCAATTGATTTATAATATCTTGTCCAGTTAAACATCTTCGGGGCTAATCTAAATTCTTGTTTCCCATCCTGTTGCCTACTCCTACGCCATGTATGTGTTTGAGGTAAATATCGACGATGTCCCATGAAACAAATTTTGTTTTTCAATCTCATTGAACTTGAATCATCGTTGAAAACTGGACACACCTTATATCATTTCGTCCTCCAACCAGACAAATCACCGTAAGCTGGAAAATCATTAATCGTCCACAATAGAGCCGCATGAACCTGGAAGAAAGATGCACTAAAACTATCATAGGTGCAAATACCATTCACCCACAACTCATTCAACTCATCTATCAAGAGTTGTAAATAAACATCAATCTCTTTACCATGAGACCTTAGCCCAGAGATAAGTAGATAGAAACATAGATGATTCTTTCATGCACTTCCAAGAAGGCAAATTATATGGAATGAGCATAACTGGCCACATATTGTACGATAAACTCATATTTTCGAAAGGGTTAAAACCATTTGAAGAAAGCGTCAATCTCACATTACGAACATCTGTAGCAAAAAGAGGGTACTTTCTATCAAAGTGTTTCCAACCCTCAGCATCAGCAGGATGTCGAAGTATTCCTTCAATTTCACACACTTTATCTTTATGCCACCTCATATCCTCAGCAGTATGTTTTGAAACATATAATCTCTGCAACCTTCCCTTCAATGGAAAATATCTTAGGACCTTGTGGGGAATTTTTTTTCCTTTTGATTTATTCAGTTTGTACCTCGACTCTCCACATTGAGGACAATTGTTAAGAGATGCATATTCTTTCCAAAATAAAACACAATCATACTTACACACGTGAATTGATTCGTATCCCATCCCTAGATCACGTAATTTTTTCTGAGCCTCATAATTTGATTTAGGAAGCTTTACACCATCTGGAAATGTATCGTTCAATAATTGGAGTAACATATCAAATGATTTATCACTCCAATGATTAAGAACTTTAGTATGCATAAGCTTCACTAAGAAATTAAACGATGTATACTTCGAACATCCTGGATACAACTCTTCGTTAACATCGCGAAACATTTCAGAAAATATATTATTAGTCTCGTGCTGCTCACTGGATTCTCCGAAACTGTCTTTAAACACTGGACCATTTAAATCATTCATCATTTGGAGCATCTCATTATCATTGACCACAGTTGTCACTTGATCCATATGATTCCCACCATCATCTGGTCTATTATTTCTAACAGAATCTGAAAATGTTGCTCCAAGAAACTTGATCCAAGTCTTAAAAATGAAGAAAGATCTACATTTTCTCCATGGAATGTCCATCTACTATATGTCGGAGACATACCATATTTGAATAAATGATGCTCTACATCATTCAAATTATTCCTTAGGACATTTAAACAATTCGAACAAGGACATCTTTTTTTTCCTTCTTCATCCAAATAATTCTTAGCGACTTCAATAAAATTGCTAACACCATTAGAATATTGACTAGATCTCCGATCTTTCAAAGTTATCCAAGTACGATCCGTAGCAATGTTTTCTATAAAAACATATAACTTATAGTTAATTACCTAACTCTAAATTTGATTTAACTAAAACTAATGTGAATTATAACTAAAAATGGTATCGAGACATATCGTCACACCAAAAACTACATAATCAAAACATCAAATCAAATTCAAATAAGTCTCACCAAAACATAAACACCAAATTCATATATATAATCTTCATAATCCATGTCTAACGTAAAATTTATAAAAAAAAAAAAAAAAACTTCTGAATTCATATCCAACACAAACTTCAAACTCATAAACTTCATAATCAAAACTAAGTTCTAATCAATATCCAAAACTACACTTCAATGTCCATCACGAAACTAAGTGCTATGACAAAATCCAACAATCCAAAGCATCAAATAAGAATTGAATAACTCACATCACTTCATTGTAATATTAATTAACATTCACAAAAAAATAACAAAAAAATCAATGACAACTCCCTTATATACATCTTCACTCGACCCAACTCCCTTCCATTCCATTTTTACTCCCACAAACTATATCAAAATCAACTTCAGCAACATCCGAATACAACAAACATTCAATTGACGTCATAATGAGTACACAAACACTTCATTACTAAATTCCAATTCAGATCCATAATGTATATTTCTAAAAAAAATGTTGAAAACATCGATAATTTTGAAGCGAACCTCGAGATGGTGATGCCTACAGCAGCCGGCACGGATGGACAATAGCCACAAAACTCACGGAGCAAGGCACGACGAACCAAAACGGAAATGAGAAATTATATGAATCATAAACTTAATCGAGCGGTATTTTGAGAAAAGCATTCATTTGAGGAGGAGAAGAAGCTTACTTTTTGTAAGATTGAAAGGGAACAACAGAACCCCCAATATTCTCACAACCGAACTTCAAAATATATCACCAAACTCCATTTCAAAATCACACTTCAATGCATCAAATAAAATCCAAATAACTCATATCTAACATAATCATCAAAATCAAATATATAAACTTTACAATCCATTAGTGAACATAAACTTCAAAATAAGAAACTAGAGAATCCATATCCAACATAAACTATACGGTCCTTACCTCCCATAGACCACCACCCAAAGCTCCCCTTCTTAAGACTTGAATACTCCATGATCAACATGCTATATACCCATCAATGGACCTTCCAAACATACCAAATCAAAACACCACACATAAATTTCTATTTAAAATAGGATTCATAAATCGAAACAACCAACATTTTAACCTATTCCAAAATCAAATCCTAAACCATCCAAAAGTGAAAATACAACTTAAGGGAGAGATTAAAGAATACCCACTTGAATCCGGCGACTACCCACTAGAATTCGACGCTACCCACTCGAAGCCGCGACTACCCACAGTTTTTACTCATATAATTTTTCCAACCCAACTTCCAACATTTCTCTAACTTTTTACTCATGGAATTTTCCCAACCAACCAAATAGATTTCAATTCAATACCAAACTTTTCCAACATTTCTCTTCTACTTCTTTTACTCCCACGGACAGGATTTATTTTAGAATTTCAAAACAAGATACCACATAATTTCCCTAACCAACCAATCAAATAAATTTCAATTCAATACCAATTTTGCAACATTTTTCTATTCTACTCTTCAACTCCCACAAATAGAATCCATTTCAGAATTTCAAAACATAATACCACAAAAATCAATTCGATAGAACACAAAACCATATAATCGATTTGAGAATTTCAATACTCAATACACCAACAACATAATACAATACTCATTCAATTCAATTTCAATCCAGACCATAAACATGCACAAATTGAAATGGATTTTGTAAAAAGTCTAAAAGAGAGTCATGGCTTTTGAGCAAACCTCTCACAACGATTATAATCAGGGTGACTGGATGGCAAACTCGTGGGGGTGATAGTAACGGGGCTAGCAATGGGGATGTTGGTGAAGAGAAGAGACCCATAACGAACTCACAGGACTGGCAGGAATGGACATCAGTGAGTGGGTGGTGACAGCAAAGATATGGACAGCAGCGGACTCATGACGACTAGTAGGGCCGAACAACAGAGATGGATTTTGATGGAGAGAAAAATCGCCACTGAATGTTGAGAAAGAGAAGAAAGGGGGAGTGTGCCTTAAATTAAAACATGTAGAACTTTTAGAGACACCGTTATGAGACGGCGTCGCTGAAAATTCTTTTAGCGATGCCGTTATATAAACCGCGTCGCTAAAAATTATCTTTAGTGACGATTTTACAAAATGTCGCTGAAAAAATGTCGTAGAAACTCCGTTTACTTGTAGTGATTTAAAGGCGCCAAATTCCACCATCCTCCATGTTTATACAGAAAATGAGACGAGATCAAACCTGGTCAAGGTCGGACACGGAAGCACGCTGACTTGGTATGTTTCGAAATGACCTGCACAAGAGCGTAAACTCTTCGATGCTCAAGTCAGTAAAATAGTTTATACTCAATAGTAAGTTCGAGGAGAAATTCTATACCTGGTGTAGAAATGTTGCCCTCTATTTATAGATTTGACACGCGACTGATCTTCCGATTGACGGTTATTTGTGTTGGATAGCAGATCAGACTTGTCAGACTCGTAGGTCGGTCCTAGAACATATCGAACATTCAACAAAGACAAGATGGATGAAAAATGACTAAGTCATCCAAGGTTCAAGGTGGACCTGTCTGAAATTATCGCTTACGTGGGCGGTTTTCTGTCTTCCATGTGGCTTGGTGATTTTCCTCACGAAACAGTACTCCACACTACTTATCAAAGTAAAATCTTTCTCTCTTCAAATTTTTCTTTCAATTTTTCGCAAAATCTTCATTCTCCTTACACATAACTTGTTCATTTTTTGTGAGAGATACATTAGAGTGTAGCTTTTTAGTGCCACTACTTTGGTACAAAATTTTGTGTAATCCACTTGTGTTTTTTCATTATTTATTTTCAAATTGGGGTTTGTATTAAGGTGTGGGTACACATTGGGTTGTAAGAAAAGTAATTTGGCTGGATTCTGAACCAGTAAAAAGGATCGTGGGTTTCTCTTTAGCCTAGTCAAAAAGAGAGTCGATTGGTTTGGTCATAAGAGGACCGTTACAGTAAAATACCAAAGAAGGAAACTTGGGGAGTGAAGTAGGAATTCCCAAACCACTATAAAAAAATTTCGGTGTCACTCACCCTATTCTCTTCTCTATTTTAAATTCAACACTTATCTACTTAGAATTATTTTGCTATATTGCATATATGTTTGCTTAAATATATTTTGTTCCATAATTCTTCTTCTTGATAAAGTTTCTTTTGTTGATTGTATAATTGTTTGTTATCCTTGAATTTATTTTAGAAGTTTGAAAAAGTGGTACGCAACCCTATTCACCATTTTGTAGCATTGTGCTTCGATCCTACAATTGGTATCAGAGCAAGTCCATTTTTTTCTAAACTATTTTTTTTAATTTGGATTTTTTTTTTATAAAAAAAGTTTGAAAAATTGAGTTTTTGAGTTTATTTCACTAGAAAATAATTTTTCCTCAAAATTTAACTTCTAAAATGTATTTTGTTAGAATAAATCTTTGAAATATTTATGTTTTTAAAATTAACTTCTGTTGATTTTAAATTTATTTTCTTTGAAACTTTTCTTAAAACTTAATTGTTTGAGCTTGTGGACGGGTAATTTTAGTTAAGGGCCATGTGGTCTCCGGACAAGCAGTTCAGAGATGAATCCACTAGACCTGAAACCAAAGAACTCGACGCTGGTGCGGTGTTCGGCCTAATATACTCCAACGCTAAAGTTAGTAATCAGAGTAAAGATAGAAATAAGATACCAGAGAGTTCAGTGACAGGTTTTTCACTTACTTGGTATGGAGGATCATCATTCTTTTTATAGCCTAGGAGAGTCGACCGAGAAGGATGATGGTTGGAAATGGCAGAGACGTCGCGCGTTGTAAGGTAGGACAGAGAGGGGCGCATCCTTGACAGTGTAGGGTAGCCTCGCTGTATGTGTCCTCTGAGCATGCCACCCAAGGACGTTGGATGCGCCCATCGGCCGACAACACGTGCTGCCGGCTGTGGATATGTACGGGGCGTAATCGTTTGTGGTGTTCGTAACCGTTATTTGATTTCAATTGATTATAACTTGTGGAAAATTGTTTATAAAGATCCCTTTATTCCTATTAAGAAAGTTGATAATGTTGATATCGCTAAAAATAAAAATGAGTTTAATGATGATGATAAAAGAAAAATATCTATTAGTGCTAAAGTCATGGATTGTTTGTTTTGTGGTTTGTGTACTCATGAATTTAATTGAATATCTGAATGTAACACTGCTAAAGAAATCTAGGATATGCTTGAAGTAACTCATGAAGGAACAAATCAAATTAAATAGTAGAAAATTAGCATGCTTGTTCGTAATTATGAATTGATTAAAATGGATGATAACAAGTCTATTACTTAAATGTTTACTAGATTTACAAATATTTTTAATGCTTTGAAAGTTTTAGGAAAGGAATATACTACAGCTGAGAATGTGAGGAAAATTCTCAGATCGCTACCAAAAAGTTGGGAATCCAAAGTGACGATGATTCAAGAAGCAAATGATCTTGTTGGGACTTTCTCTACCTTCAAAAAGATTAGAGACTCGTGCAAGTGCACAAGGTCACAAGTAATACTCGGAAGTAATCCAAGGTCGAATCCTCAGGGACTTGTTGCTTTTCAAAATCAAGTAATGCCGTGAACTGGTTCAAATATGCAATTGTGATTTAGGAAGAAAAATGTGAAAAAAA